TTTTATTCAAAAATAAATACATCATCGCTTTCTCAAAATCACATAAAGCCATATTATAACATCGACTGAGATAAAGAATAAAATGAAATATTAAAATCACGATGTATCTCGTTGCATTGCGCGAATACGCTTCTAGTTTACATAAATATCCTCAATTGATTGGTTTGTGTATCGTGTGAATATTTTTTCCCCATGGGAACGTAAGAACAATTTGGATGCTTTTGTTTTTTTGATAGGGCGACGTAGATTGATGTTATGACAGTTTCCTAATAAGACAAACTTATATGACAAATGTTGTAAGGGAGGCCGGATTAGTGATGCATGACGGAAAACGAGACGAACCTAAGTTGATTAAGAATGGAGGAAATAAATTAATTGTTGTAACGATCGACAAGTACGAGCTCAACAGGGGTGCAAACTTTTTTAGAATCCGTTTTTTATATCTTTTATTGATTCATAGGTGAGTCTGATAATTCTCGATTTGAAGGTATTATTCTACATCAGTCAGCGTATGTTAACATACCTAATACCCTAAACATACCTTAAAATAAGATGTTACATAACTTAACAGATGCTAAGATACATTAACATAAGGGTGATGTCTGATTGGTTTGAGCTTGACTCTAAAGATCAAAAGTACTATGAGGTCTCAGGTTCAAATCCAAGAAGAAATAAAAATTCCCTTGTGGACACGGAGGTTCAAATGTGGTGACTCCGGGCTATCTGCAAAACAAGTGGTCATCCTGGGATTAGTCGGCTTGCATAATTGGTTGGATATCCAGGTTAATTAAAAAAATTATATATAATCAAAAAGTATGAAAAATAGTGCAAAACATAATCATATTTTCACCTTAGGCAAAAATATAATAAACGTACAAAATTTAAGAGTAAAATGGTTTCTCAAAATCTAAAATATGGACATTTTTTTATTAAAAAAATTGTTTTGACAAAACAAATGTTTTTAACATTTTTAAAACCTTACTTCATATAATCCTACAAAATTCCGTGAAATCCCAAGCATCCCTTAAGGATTCAAAATGGGGTGGGCTAATGGCACCCCTAGCCATTGCCAATGGCACCCCTACTTAGGTTTCAAATTATTAGTTTTATGATTTTTTGTGTTTTTTTTGTCTTTTTGTTATTATTAATTTTTATTTTATTATTATTTAAATGAAATTATTAATTAATATATTATTTTATTTTCTGTTTTTTATTTATTTATATTATATTT